CCAAGTTGGCAGATGGGACGGAGCCAGGGGGGCCAACTGACTGGCATCTGCTGAACAGGTGGGCTTCCTGCCTGCTGCCTCCCCCTGGCCAGGTGCCACCCCCCCCCCCGCTCCCCCAGCAGTCAAAGCTGTGCTCATTTAACGACCGTTCAGAGTTCCAGTGGAACTGGAAAAAGTGCCCCATGGCTGTTTTCCACAGGTGCCCCCACAGCTGCATCCTCCCCTCCCAGGTCACGTGATCGAAATTCGGATTCTTGGCGGCTGACTCACATTTATGACGGGGACTGTCCCTTTCGCGACCTCCCGACCAGCCAGGTCAACGGGGGGAGCCAGATTCACTTAACAACTTACTAACTTAACAACTGCAGTGATTCACGGCGAGAGAGGTCGTAAAATGGCAAAACTCACTCAGCAACAGACATTTCCGGCTCAACTCAGGTTGTAAGTTGAGGACGTGGAGACTGGGGGCCCCCTGACTGGGAAATTCGGATGCCCCCCACCCCAGGGACTTCTGTGTGTGGGGGGGGGTCCCCTTTCCAGGCAGCGGGAAGCGGGAGGGTTAAAGAGCAGAGGGGCTGCGAGCAATTAATCCCCTCCGCGCCTGGGCAGAGAATGTGCTGAGCCAGCAGCAACAGCAGCACTGGCGGTGGGGGGGGGGTGGCTAGAGAAAAAGGAATCCCACCCCTCCCTCACTTCGGGGGTCTAGGCTGGGCGGAGAGGGGGGAAGAGGGCTCCATTCCCACAGCCCCCCCTCCCTGCAAGCAACTTCCCACCCCACCCCAAAGAAAGCAGATATGCAGGGAAGCACGAAGCCTTAGCTGGGGCTGGAGAGCCACCCCCTCCCCTAAATCCCTCCAGGCACATTCCTGTAGTCAAAGGCTCTGCTTCTTCCAGATGGGCAGGGCCAGCCGGCCCCCTTGTGCTCAGCCCCCCCACCATCGAAGGGGGGGGGGGCTCATAGCTGCTCCCCCCAGCCCAGAAACACCCCTGATCTCTGAGGTTTGCAAACAGCCATTGTAAGAAGCTTCCCCCTCCTCACTCTTTCCGGGGTGGTCTTTTGTCTCGCGCAGAGAGGCTTGAGGCCAGCAGGGGCTGCCCGGAGACCCTCCTCATCCCGCCCACAATGGAGAGACCCTCCCTCCAAGCCAGGAAAACAGCACCCCTCCCTGCCCCCCCACCCCAAACCCAGAAATGCAACGTTTTCAAATGAGAGAGGGGCAGGGAGAGATTTGGGGCGAGCCCAAGGAAAGCCCCCTCCCCTTGCAACCGGCCTTAAAACCCAATGCTCAGAGCTGGGAAGGGTCTCCTCCGTTGCCCCCCCACCCCAGGCAGGAACAAAGCTACCTGGGCATGTCCAGAGAGTCCAGATTCCTGCAAGGGGGGCGGGGGGGAGAGTTGTGGCTCCTGCATACACATGTACACACAACAACAACAACAACAGGACTGGATTGTGTCCTGCAAGGCTTATTGTGTTAAGTTTAGAGCAAAACAACCTTCGGAGGCAGGAATCCCTCTGGGAGAATTTGCTGTCTCCCAATCACACAGGGCTCCTGAGCTGGAAAAGTGGGCTGGGGGGCGCAGACAGAGGTCCCCCACCCCCACCCAAACACCGCCGAGACAGGCAGGGACACTGTCTCCACGGGGACCCCAGACCCTTGCGAGAGTTTGCATCCTTGCAGCCGTCCTAACAATCCTTTTCTCCGGCTATCCGGAGAGCCGGTGGTCTTGCTGGCTGACTCAGCGTCCGAAGATTTGTGCCAGAATCGGACAATCACTGGTCTGGAATGATAGAAGGTAAAAAGTGTTCAAAGTTTGGAACTTTAAGACTCGTGGACTACAACTCCCAGAATTCCCCAGCCAGCTCTGCTGGCTGGGGAATTCTGGGAGTTGTAGTGCACGAGTCTTAAAGTTCCAAAGTTGGGACACTCCTGATAAAAGTGTTGGACTAGAAGACCTCCAAGGTTCCCTCCAACCCCGTTATTCTCTTAAAAACCCCGAAGGATCCCTGGGAGGAAACCTCACAATACCTCCGACCGTTTTTTTTCCCCCGCTCTGGGGCTTTTAGGGACTTCTTAATCCAGCCACACAGCCCTGCGCGTTTCCTGGTGGTCTCCCGTCCCCGAAGCGCCCAAGCCAAGGTCGGTCCCGGCTCCCTTGGCCGAAACCAGCGAAAGGGGGAGGGAGTTTCTGTGCAGGCCGGGACAGCCCCCGCCTGCCTGCCCTGCCAAACAGCCACTTTCGGGGTTAAATTCCGCTTCCCGCCTCCTCCGGCTCTCCGGGCACCAACCGCTCTCATGCCCCCCCCCCAGCACCTTCCGAAGAGAGAGGCGGGCATGCAGGCAGCGTTGGTGGGCAGGGCGCGAATTCCTCCCGGGGGGGTCCACTCCAGCCCTGCGGTGCCCGGGAGGCGTCCGAAGTTTCCGCTGCAAACACGGGAGAGCCTTCGGGGGGGGGAGGCGGAGCCGGTTGCCCGGCCAGCGGGCACCAAACAGTGCAGGGCGCCATGGAAGGGGAGGGGGCGCCTTGCGTGCGGAGGGGTTGCCCGTGATGGGACCCCAGCAGGCGGTCGTGGGCTCCGGGTAAACAGGGGGAAGGGGGCGCTGCCCCCCAACCAGGGGTCAGGGCAGAGGGGCGACGGGGGCATCGAATGCCCAGCTTCCCCGCACCGGGGCCAGCCCGGGCAAGGGGTCTCCGCCGGGGCAGCGCTCTGCACATGCCCAGGGGAGCCCAGGGTCTCGGCGTGCGTGGGAGAGGGGTGAGTGGGGGGGTCTGGGGGTCCCGGCTGGCCCACCCACCTGAGGAACTCCTGGAGGCAAGTGTCGCAGAAGCGGTGCCCGCAGGTGGAGACGCGCACGGGCTCCCGCATGGCCTTGGCACACAGCGGGCACAGCAGCCGCCGCTTCGGCTTCTCCAGGAACTTGTAGTCGAAGCCCGGCATGGCTCCTCCGGCCACGATGCCCGCTCGCTCGCAGCCCTGGACGGCCGAGGCCCCGCCCGTCCGCCCTCCTGTGCCCAGCGCCTCCGAGCTCCGTGCTCGCTGCTATTGTGTGAGCCGCGGCTCGGGCTGCTGGGGGG